TGCTCCGCTTCTTCCTGGTCTGCAGACCGGGGAGCCGCGGAGCAGCTTTTCTCGCCCCGGAGTACACGGGCGGCGGGACCGCGAGGTCCCGCAGTCTGTGTCCTCCGGGGCGAGAAAAGCCCCGGCGTATAAGACGACACCTGATTTTTGAGGGATGTTTTTTAGCATAAAAAGTCGTCTTATACGCCGGAAAATACGGTAGATAGATTCATGGAGATTAGGTCCATCAATGGCTATTAGACAAGATGGGTAGGAATGGTGTCCCTAACCTCAGTTTGTCTGGAAATGGGTGACAGAAGAGGGATCACATGAGGATTACACCTGTTGTGTTCCCTTCCTCTGGGGCGTCTGGTATTGGAAGACAGGAAACTAGGCTAGATGGACCTTTGGTCTGACCCACTATGGCCATTCTTATGTTAAGCAGAGCTTTCCTCACATGAATAGAAGATTAAAAAACGTCAACATGAGAATTATAGCACAAGACTAGATGGAATTCCAACTACCACAATTAAATACTTAGCTGCAACACACCTGCCTCAGCTCCATTGTTGGGCCTCTTCCCATGTCCAAAGCAACTTTTATTGGTGTTAAACAAGGGTGTAGCTTAAGTACCTACCAGTATAGCAAGAAACATGTTACTGGACATTTACATTAAATACATGGAACAGAATTAAAAGGGTATTAGTGAGATATACAGGAATATCCAACTGAATTTATGTTTTTGAACGAATGAAAAATAAATGCTTAGTAAATATATTCAATATGTACAGTCTTATGTTCTTTCAAAACAGAAATCCAGACTAGAATAAAGTGAGTCACATTTGATGTAACACTCAAGATGTTGTAGCTTCCTAGAAAAACTATTTTCACAGTCTCTTCTACCTGACACACACTCCTGCGAGAAGTCAAATCATAGAGCTCCCTTGAGACTAACCTGATGTGCTGATCATACCACAGAACCCATCTTCTACCTGCCCTCTAGGGTTCACCCCAACACCCTGTCCTTCTGGACTAGATGCTCCAGACTCTCCCAAAGTAACAGAGGCTCTATGTCTAGATTACATCCCTCTTTCGAAAATTTTTGACAAGATCTTTCGAAAAAGGCTTTTCTTTTCAAAAGAACTGTGTCTAGACTGCGGTTTCACTTTTGAAATTGCGTTTTTTTGAAAAACGCTGTGACGCGATTATGCAAATGAAGCGCTGGAAATTCAAATCCCAGCTTCATTTGCAATTTTGGTATGTCTAATTTACATCTCTCTTTTGAAAGAGGGATGTAGTTTAGATGTACCCAGAGTTGGGTAACAGCCCCTCAGCATAACACAGATGCTGACAACGACTTAGGTCTGGGAGGTCTCAGACAGAAACTTGTCAGCACCCATGAGCACAGCCCCAAACAGGACCAAAACCCCAAGTTAATCCATCTTATTCTGTATAACAGTTTTACACAGGGCAAGCTCAAAGATATTGGCCCCTTTTAACAATGAAAAAGATATGCACAGCTGTTGATCTCCCAGTTAATAAAAACCCACCATAAATAACAAAATTGGATACAAGTGATTGCAACTGAAAGTAGATGGACCAAAGTAAGTTACTAAGCAAAAATAACAAACACTCCAGCTAAGCCTAATATACTAAGAGATGTTGTTACAAATCATATTTCTCGCCCTAATTCTTATTTCAGAAACAATTCTTCACAAGTTAGAGATGATCTTTTTCTCTGATGTGGGCCCAAGCAGTTTTACTCAACCCTTCTTGTTACAGTTCTCTCTCTTTCCCAGTATTCTTGTGTAACTTCCTAGGGCGGGGAGAAAGTCTCAAAAACCAGCTGAAGACCAATCATTGTTTGTTTTCCCCCCCTTAAATAGAATTCATCAAGGCTGCGTCTAGACTGGCAAGTTTTTCCTGGAAAAAGCGGCTGCTTTTGCGGAAAAACTTGCCAGCTGTCTACACTGGCCACTTGAATTTGCACAAGAACACTGACGATCTAATGTAAGATTGTCAATGTTCTTCCACAAATACTATGCTGCTCCCGTTCGGGGAAAAAGCCCTCTTGCGCAAATACATTTGCGCAAGAGGGCCAGTATAGACAGCTAAAAACTGTTTTGCGCAAAAAAGCCCCAATGGCGAAAATGGCGATCGGAGCTTTCTTGCACAAAACTGCGTCTAGATTGGCACGGACGCTTTTCCACAAAAAGTGCTTTTGCACAAAAGCATCTGTGCCAAATCTAGATTCTCTTTTCTGCAAATGCTTTTAACGGAAAAAATTTTCCGTTAAAAGCATTTGCAGAAAATCATGCCAGTCTAGACGTAGCCCAAGAGTAGGAATCCTTTGTTCAATCCCACTACCGCAGAAAAATACCAAATTCAAGAATTTCAATACCAGATGACGTGTTCACATGTCTTTGTAGGATCAACAGCAGTTTGGGCTTACAGGAAAAACAAAAGCATTTATAAATCATTGTCTAGAGCACCAGGCCATTAAGCATTAAGTTCCTTAGATACCATTAATGGCTTTCACTAGAAGACCTGGATTAATAAGGAGGTATACACTTGGTATTTCTAACTTAACTTACAAGAATGATGCAAGCACACAAACAGAAGACACATTCAGGGGATTACAATCTCTTGAATGATAGACTACTTGCCCTGCTTTGCTACTTGCCCTGCTTTGTATATTCATATTCAAAAACATATTTTCATAAAAATATGGGGCTGAAGTATCAAATCACCTTTCTCTGAAGAGTTTTCTTTCTTGATAGAGAGCTCTCTGTGAGCTGCAGAGAGTCACAAAGATAAGCTAGCACTCCTTGGTCCAGATTGCCATTCACAGAGAGCACATGAGGAATAATATTCTTTCTTCCATCTCGGCCCTGCAGGAGAACCATCACAAAAATAAAAATAAAAAAATAAAAAATAAAAAAGAGAGTATATATAAAATGAATGAGCACAAAAAGCCACCAATCATAGGTGGGTTCCTACAATGTACATTTAAAACATTAATATATTAATATATAAAGAACAAGCAGGAGCAACATCACAACATGTGGTAATATCTAAATGAAGTCTGTAGCAAAGGAGAGAAACACTCCACCTTCCTTAAGTACTACCTCTGAATCAACATCTTAACAAAAACAATCCAAGAAAATAAGCCTTACACCAAGTTAAGGATTTCAGACCCAGGCAATTTGGAGCTACTCAAAGAGAATACCTTGCAAGAAGGCTCTTCGTTTACATCAAGGGCTCCAGTGTGAGCATTTTATTGATCTCAACTATTGCAGAACAGCAAGGGGAGGTTTCTCAGGATTTGATACATCAACGTCAAAGCCTTAAACCACACATGGAAAGGCAACTAGTGCAGATCCCAGAGCATCATGTAATAATCACAATAGTGTACTTTATTTAACAAATGATTACCACAATCTGAAACAGTTCCCCACACTGTTCTGTCAAAGTACCTCAAGTCTAACTTCAAGAATCAGCTCTGGAAGTGAGAAAACAGTTCAGTTATGACCTAACTAGCTGCTTTCATGACCCAACAAGATCACAGTCCAAGATGGTATGACTGTGGGCTACCAACCACAATTTTTTTTTGTACATATTAATCAACTGAATCAAACCAAAGCAAGATCTGTATCTCATAATGAGTGAGCAACATTTTAAATGATAAAACGGGGAGGGGGGGGAGGGGAAACTTACTTGTAATTTTGATTTATCCCCTGGATACATTTGTAACAATTCATTATCTCCTAGACTCTGCAACGTTTCTATTGGTTCCTTTCCCCAAGGAAAGCTGTAGTACAAATTATTTCCTTTTCTTCCCTCTTTATCTTGAAAGTCACTGCTGCTGAAGTTGGATGGGCCTATTGCAAACTGAAAATTAGAGGTTTAAAATATCCGTGTATTGTACACATTAACTGAATTGAAAATAATAATGCTCTGAAAATACAGGTGCAAACCCCACTGGCCATTTAAGAACAGTTTTTAGAATTCCAAAATGCTACATCAGTTACAGCACACATGCCCCAAATCACTCAAACCTAAATTAAAATGGAGTTTTGCAATTCCCATTATAAACAGTTTGACAGTATTGTTATGCACTACTATACAACTTCTCTATCACATAAATGGTTACAGTTCAGTGGTGGATAACTGGCAATATCATTCTATATTAACCCTAAAATTGCTTTAAAACATAAATGCTGTAAGAGGCATCCCAACATTTTCTAGCGTAGAGCAGTAACTAATATGATGTAATATCAAATACCTTTCTCCACCACTGGAGTCGCTGGCGTAACCAGTAATCAAGCCACTGTCCCGCAGTTCTGGCGGAGCTAAACCATACAAGGGAAGACACTGTCCTTTCGCCTATTCTTTAAACAATAGTAATGGCAGCAAGTTAACTCCTTAAAAATAATAAGGGAAAAGCAAGAGATAGCATTCAAAAAGTTATCCAAAATGAGTTTGCATTTCTGTTTGTTTAAATAAAACAGAGATTTGTCAGTTTTCATTACTGTACCTTGCGATGTTGTCATTTTGATGCTCAGTGTTCGGAACAGGATGAAAACATACTCCAATCTGAGCCAGTCCATATGGCAACCTCTTGTTTACCAGTTCTAGACAATTAATATATTGCTCAAGAGCACCTGTTGCAAGACAAATCATTTCTGCAGTTCTAGGAAGCATTTTAAAAGTTTTAATTATAATTAAAAATAAATTTGAACTTATCTATAAAACAGTTAAAGCACTGACATTTAGCAAGAAAGGACAAAGGTAAAAAGCAGTAAACTCACAAAGCTATATAGACCAGCTATGTGCACAGCTGATAATTTCCAGACATTAAATTATAGTGTTCTGCATCTCTGCCATTTGAACTGCTGTTTGAGATAACTGGCAGAAAATTAGTTTCCACAGGCCCAACTCCTGTGTTGACAGAACATAGGGCAACACTAGCAGTGATAACACAAAAGTGTAACAAACTGAGACATTGCAACATGAAAATGCAACTGGTAAATCATTTTAACAGATTAATCTTATCTGGTGGGATAAATACAAATAGGTAGCCACTCCTGCCTTTGGCTCCCAAACAAAGCAGATGAGAGACCATGCCTGCAATTTCTAAACCTAATAATGTTAATTTGGGGTTGAGATTAAGAACATACCATGAAGAAGATCTTCTCGAAGCATCCCAGACATCCCCAGCACGTTTTCCATAGAGGCAACTATCTGCTCTTTGTTTAATTCTGTATTCTGGAAGAGGTCACGCAGGGCTCCAACCTGTATCAGCCTGAAAGCTTCCCCTGCTGGAAGCATGCCAGCTCCTGGAGCATGATGTAGGGAATCCACTGCAAACACTTGCTCCCTGGAAGCCACCACAGAGGCCCACCACTGAGCTGCCAAGTTCTTCCTCAGCTCCACCCCCAGAGGCCCAAAGCCGGGATGGCAGCCCCTCAGGTAAGAGTGCCAGGTGAGTGCCTGCTGCTGGTCCCCTCTTAGAAAGTGCCTCCTTTGGCAGACATCCAACAGCACCTCGCTGCCCTCCCAGTGCTGCCCCTCTACGCTGCTGCGGGGGCCCCCCACGCAAGGCCTCGAATGGGCAGCCAGGGGCCCCAGAGCAAACCTGGGGGGCGCCACTTGCACCGCAGGGGCCCTCCCAGCCGCCCCGGGGGAGCCCCTCTGCCCCCCAGGGGCTCCCAACTTGCGCCTCTGCTGGATTTTGGAGGCGCCCATCAGGGGCTGTTTGAGACCATGGACCCCCATCCGAGCCCTGCCCCAAAGCCCGACCCCGGAGCAACCGCTCAGCACCATGGTACCGAGGGGACCTGGGCGGCGAACCCCCCCCCCAAGTTCCCGACGCGCAACACTAGGCAGTGCGGGAGGATTGTGGACGCGCATGCGCACTTGTCTAGGGAACAGGCACTGCGGCAAGCACAGGCGCGTGCTGCCGCTCTCGTAGGCGCAGAACGAGCTGGGACGCGCGCGCTCTGTGCTGGGCAAGGCCACGCGCCCGGCACTTGCGCACTAGCTCCCCTGCCCTTCTCCCCACCTCCCTCCTCCTGCGGAGTCCCAGCTCTCCTGAGACCCCCTAGGGCTTTGCCAGCTTCCGCCGCGCCTCCCCCCCGCGGCGCGCAGAGCTGGTTCCTGGGGCAGCGCTGGAACCGATGCCCTCCCCCTCGAGACCCCGCCCCCTCCCTGGTCTTCCTCCCCGCTGCCGAATCCAAGCCGGGCCGGAAGGCGGCGCGCGCAGGCCGCTTCAGTTGCCTGGTTACGGGATGGGAGACGCCTCTTCCCTAGGCTCTTAGTCTCCCACTTCCGGCCTCGCCAGAAGGAGGCCTCCAGCAAGGAGCTTATGGAAAGAGAAATGCAAAGTGCTCCACTTAGGAAGGAACAATCAGTTCCATACATACAAGATGGGAAGCGACTGTCTAGGAAGGAGCATGGCGGAAAGGGATCTAGGGGTCATAGTGGACCACAAGTTGAATATGAGTCAACAGTGTGATGCTGTTGCAAAAAAAGCAAATATGATTCTAGGTTGTATCAACAGGTGTGTTGTAAGCAAAACGCGTGAAGTCATTCTGCCGCTCTACTCTGCACTAGTTAGGCCTCAGCTGGAGTACTGTGTCCAGTTCTGGGCGCCACATTTCAAGAAAGATGTGGAGAAATTGGAAAGGGTACAGAGAAGAGCGACAAGAATGATTAAAGGTCTAGAGAACATGACCTATGAAGCCAGGCATCATGAACTGGGCTTGTTTAGTTTGGAAAAAAGAAGATTAAGGGGGGGACATGATAGCGGTTTTCAAATATCTAAAAGGGTGTCACAAGGAGGAAGGAGAAAATGTGTTCCTCTTGGTTACTGAGGACAGGACAAGGAGTAATGGGCTTAAAGTGCAGCAGGGGAGGTTTAGATTGGACATTAGGAAAAAATTCCTAACTGTCAGGGTGGTCAAATATTGGAATAAATTGCCAAGGGAGGTGGTGGAATCTCCCTCTCTGGAGATATTTAAGAACAGGTCAGATAGACATCTGTCAGGGATGGTGTAGACGGAGCTTGGTCCTGCCTTGAGGGCGGGGGACTGGACTTGATGACCTCTCCAGGTCCCTTCCAGTCCTATTATTCTATGATTCTATGACCTCCCCTGAGGCTGGTGTGGGGGGTAATAATGCAGGTTCCACCCCCCCCCCCTCCAACTATGCTTATGCTAATACATGGGCAGATATTGTTCCACTTGGGGAGCCATATCCCCCACAATCTAGCATCCTGCCAGGCTAATGGTGGGAGGTTCCTAGCCCTTGGTGTTTTCCTTTTGAAATGCCTCTTTTTTTATACTTGAATTTTAATTTTTTTTAGTTGAAAGAAAAGCCCAACAGCACTGGTGTTTTTCAAATGAAGGATGAAGTTTAATAAGGACAAATGCAAAGTGCTTCACCTGAGAAGGAACAATCAGTTTCACACATACAGAATGGGAAGCGACTGTCTAGGAAGAAGTACTGCAGGAAAGGGATCTTGGGGTCATAGTAGACCACAAGCTAAATATGAGTCAACAGTGTGATGCTGTTGCAAAAAAAGCAAACATGGTTCTAGGATGAATTAACAGGTGTGTTGTGAGCAAGACACGAGAAGTCATTCTTCCGCTCTACTCTGAACTGGTTAGGCCTCAGTTGGAGTATTGTGTCCAGTTCTGGATGCCACATTTCAAGAAAGATGTGGAGAAATTGGAGAAGGTCCAGAGAAGAGCAACAAGAATGATTAAAGGTCTAGAGAACATGACCTATGAAGGAAGACTGAAAGAATTAGGCGTGTTTAGTTTGGAAAGGAGAAGATTGAGAGGGGACATGATAGCAGTTTTCAGGTATCTAAAAGGGTGTCACAAGGAGGAACGAGAAAACTTGTTCTTCCTGGACTCTGAAGATAGAACAAGAAGCAATGGGCTTAAACTGCAGGAAGAGAGGTTTAGGTTGGACATAAGGAAAAAGCTCCTAACTGTCAAGGTGGTTAAACACTGTAATAAATTGCCTAGGGTGGTTGTGGAATCTCCATCTCTGGAGATATTTAAGATAGACATTTATCTAACCTATCAGGGAAGGTCTAGACATTACTGGGTACTACCAAGGTCCCTTCCAGTCCTAGTATTCCATGATTCTAAATCAGGACTAAACTTCTGTCTCTAATAAGGAAACACCATAGAGCAGGGCTACTTAACACAAGGCCTGCAGCCCATTTGTTTGCTGCCCAAAGTGCAAGTTTGGATGAATGCAGGGCTCAACACGCAGCCCGCGAGTGGGATCCTTTGAACATGTCCTCCACTGGGAACATGCTCCACAACGGTAAGGCATCTCCCAGGCGGGGGGAGCACTGAAAGATGCAAATAGACGGGCTGGCTGGAACAGACGGGGACAGGGTGTCATTGTCTCTAGCCTCCAGGGACGAGGTGCTGGGAGCACTTGGGCATTGTGTAAAAGAAGTTATTTATTTGCATGTATATGCAACCACACCTAAGTTGCAGCCCTCAGCATGTGCGGTGCCTTAGAGCATGGGTCATCATGAACAGGGCACTTGAAAATCTGCTAGCTTCTACCCAGAGATGGCCTCTGCCCTCAGGAACTTGAAATTGATGCTTCTGATCCCATGTGGAGGCCATAAGACGCCATGCAGATATCAATCCAGCACTAAACTGCATAGAATGTAGGAATGAAACCTGAAGCTATTTCCTTGAGGCTGTTGTGCTAACACCTGCACTCAAGGCTGGCCCGAGCCCCTTTGGCACCCTGGGCCCGGACATGCGGCACCACCCCCGGGTGCACGGTGCATGCGCGAGCCCACCCGTGGGGTACGGGCCCGTCCCCAGGGTGCACAGCACATGCACGAGCTGGCCACGGCCACTGGCACGCAGCCCAGAGCCTGCCCCCGGGGTGCATGCGCTGTCTAGCTAGTGCTGCTGGCGCGCGCGCGCCGGGCCATGCAGGGCCCCGCAGCCATGGGGAAAGGGTGCTGCTGGCCGGCGCTGCAGGAGCCAGGCATGCGGTGCCTGATGGCAGCTGTAAGGGACACCGTGCACCCTTACAGCTGCCATCAGGCACCCCCCATAGGTTGGCAACTTGGGCAGCTGCCCGGCTCGCCCATGCCTCAGTCCGGCCCTTTCTGCACTTATTAAAAATGAGTAGCCCTGTGGCACCTTAGGCTATGTCTATAGCAGGGCTATTTTACGATATCCTGAAATAGCAATTCCGTGTCTTTACCTGTGCCTGTTATTTCAAAATATATTTTGAAATAACAGGCACGCTATTCCAGCGTTCCTGTAACTCTCATTCCATGTGGGTTAAGAGATATGTCGGAATAGCGCTTTAGTTCAAAATTCCCTCAAAAAAAGCTACGCAATTTGCATATCTTATTTCGAGGTAAGGGTATTCTGTAGACATACCTTTAGAGACTAACAAATCCACTTCATCAGGTGAGTTGGGCTGGAAATAACAGAATCCAAGGCATATATAAGCTATTGTGAGAGACCACAGCATTTTCTGTCAACCCTTCTCTGCCTTCTCCATTATGTTCACAAATTCATGCATAGACAAATGAACTAGGAGATACGAGTCAAATCACAACTTTTCAAACATGGTGTGGGTGAGGACGCTGTTGTCCACTGAGGTTGAATGCAAATAGGACTATGAAAGGAAAATTGGATGGTGCTCTGAGTCTAGACACAAGAGGTGAAGCCCCTGCATGTACAAAGCCCTGTGTAGTCAGAAAGATAAGAGATGCCCAATGCAGTTCTTGTGAGAACAGCACTGTTACATACAAAGGCCTCTAGCAGAAAGGTTCCTTAGGCAATCAAGTGTTAAAACAGCATAGATTGGATGGGACCCAATGTTCTTTTGTAGGTGTGTGCAGCTGATGTGAGAGATTTATCTGCTCCATCTGCTAATGAGCTCACAACTGGTAGTCTGACTCAACAGCACAGCAGGGGAAATTTCCATACATGTGCTAAATCATGGATTTAAACTAGTTCCACTAATTAGAGCTTAAAGAGGAGTCAAACATTCAATATGCCATGTATGTTATGAAAAATTCATGCATGTTCAAGTCTCAATGACTTGGAATAATCCCATCATTGGTTCTTTACCACAGTTGCCAGTTTTACAGACTAGAAGAGCAACAGAGTGAAAATAAGAGATCTACAACAATTGTTACTAGGTCACCCTGATAAATTATACTGTTAAGCAAAAGAAATCTAATTTAACACCCAATCCACAGTAGGATCAGAATGCTGCTAGTTACAGTAATATTTACAAACCACTGGGCAAAGATAGCCTTGTCTGAGAATCAGGAATATACTACAGTTCTTACCGAAAAAAGCAAATTGTTTATACCCCCTGAGGAATCTGTTCTAGTACCCTGCTAGCAACAAACATGCTCTGATTAATTATAACACTTAAAGTTAACAGAGTTCCAAGCCCATTGTGAGCAGGAGCTAAATAAAATAAATTCACAGTAAAACTACACCTGACCAACTTGTATGCAAAGCTTATGCTGTCAATGGAATTGCCTGCTCTAACAGCTGTGTGCAAGAAAATCTTTACTATCCTCAACAGTAACATAAATGAATATAACACTCTATGGTTAACAAAGACAGGGAATTGACTAGCTGAAAAACCTTTATTCTGGGATATACTTTCTCTCTCCTTAAGTTTACAAATCTAATTCAGGTAAGATTACAAATGCATAGGACAATAACTCAGAATGCAACATATTTATTATCTTTTAAAGCAGTGCCACAGCGGATGAATTTTTACCATTATTATGTAACAGAGGGAAAAGTACTGGCTTAGTAACCCACATCACAGCTAGGGTGGGAAAGTGATTACAGGAATTCTCTTGCAGTTTATGATGGCTGTTAGCTTCTCTGTGACGCTATAGGGAGTGCCAGTCTTAACAAGCTTAGATTGATTAAGCTTACAAGCTGTTGTGTGTTGCTACCTTATTTATGGTTGCTGGCAGGTATAAGTTTCCAACCTAGGACCTGACTGACCTAAAAAAATCTCTGCTAAAATAGCACAAACCCACTTCAATGGAGTGCTTCTCCTTATGGATTTCCTAATGAATGAAACTCTCATGACTCTAGGACCCAATTATGACTTGTAATTGCCAATTTGTC